TATGGGCCCAGGCTTACAGCTGTGACCTTGTTCTTGAGATCTCAGGAGACTGCATAACACCCACGCACATCCCAAAGGAGGTAGGTGTTGGTTTAGACAAAAAAAACAAAGTAAAAAAAAAAAAAAAAAAAAAAAAGAACTGGCCAAAGGCATGAGTTTAAGAACCATTCTCCTCTTAGGCAACCAAGGTAGATCTCCAAAGACCAAAGCCCCAGCGAGCAAGGGAGGGCCGGCCACTTCCCACCTCCAGCCGCCCTCTGTGTTGCCTGCTAAGGCCTCCTCCAGGGCCGCCTCTGCTGCAGAACCCGCGGGGAAGCAGCGCACACAATGGCGTGCCTGCCTTGGGGCTTCTGGCTGCTCTGGGCACCCTCAGCGCAGTGTGGGGTAGGGAGGCCTCAAGCAAGTTTGAGGCCTTGGTGGGCCCTCCTTTGCCCCCAGAGCACTCGTCTTGGACAGAAGCAGGAACTAGGGAGGAGGTTTGCCTCCCGTGCCGACTTCTCCTGCAGGTATGGCTGCAGGGCCTCCCCGAGAAGAGAGGCCAAGGCCCAGGGCGCCATTGGCGGCCGGCTCCCCTCCCCCACGCTTCTTTCTCTGCTGCTGCGAGACCGGGGAGGGAGGAGGCAGGCGCCTGTGCAGATAGAGCCGCTATTGTGACCTTCCCTCGCAGAGCAGGAACCCAGCCGAGTGTGTACCGCCGGCGGTGGCTGTGGCGGGGGAGGAGGCGACTGTGTGCAAACCTTGGCGGGGAGGGGTTGGCACTGGGAAATAAAGGTTTGCAACCTCGGGCCCTTGGGTCTTTCAGAGGGCGTTTGGTTGTGTTTAGACTCGGGTGCTTCCTAACACTAATTGCAGGCTCGAAAAGAGCGGAATTTACTGTGAAGGCCAAGGCGGCTTGTTTATAATTTATGAAGTTTTAAATGGTTGTGCCGGGCCAGGCTCTCAGCCGGGCGGGTGGCCGCGTGGGAGCGTGCCCTCGCCAGGAGTGACCCAGTGTGCCCATCACATGACTCACGCCAGTGACAGGAACGGATTGGAGCCACTCTCAGAAGTCTCCGGAGGTGGGGAAAAGCCTCAGATTCAGCCCCAGCCACCCCGCCCCCCACACACATACCCTGGAAAGCAGGGCCGTGGGGAGCTGTGGCTGCATGGAGAGGGAGCCCCCAGCCCAGCACTTCCTTGGAGCCTAAGTGTGAGAGGAAGCTGATGTCAGCCTGGCGAGACACCGTTTAAAGTCTAATCCATGAAACCCTAAGCCACAGATGACACTTGGGGCTTTGCAGACACCCGCAGACTCAGCAGATACTACTGCGGTAACACATCGCGCTGGAAAACGCCTGGAGCCATGATGCATTATGTATTTTTATTATTATTTATGGTAGGAAGAGGAGATGAGGGAAAACCGGGCTGAATCTAAACAGCCTGACGATTCATCTATTTAATATTTAGCCAGTTAAGAAAGGTGGTTGTAATCCCTGCAAGGCAACGAGATCTTTGATTCCCCTAATAGCTTAAAAAATAATTTCGTACAAGACAATTAGAAATTCTGCCCATGGATGCAAATTTCATATAAAACAATGTTAAGCCTTGAAAGTGGGTAAAATATGTCTTCGATTGAAGTCATTTATTCTGTCGGTACACTTCTACAGCATATATACTTTGAACCTCCTCAGATAAAGTGAAATTTGGCAAAAGAATATCCCCTCCCGCCCCCAATCTAACATGCCATTTTAAAAACAGCACAAAAGAACCGGGAAAGTAAATGTATTTTGAGCCATCATTAGTGAAACACAAACATCCAAATAGAAACAATTGTTGTTCCACCAGAAGATAAGAAGTTAAATTATTTCCACACAATAGGAATTTCACCTCTTGTCACCGGGGATGTAGTAGGAGTTGCATTATTTGTCAAACCAAATAGAGATGCGTGGGCTGACTTTGCTGAAATACAAAAGAATTGAAACTTATTTGAAGGCGGTTTCCAAGTGTCCCCTCCCATAGAAGTGAGTGTAAGTGGTCTGCTCCTAGCTAGAGCCACACTAATATTTACAAAATGGTTATAAACCTTTTGAAGACGTTTTTTGCCCGTTTTGTACAAAGAAACAGAAGTAAACAGGGTGTTTATATGTGCTGTGTTCCAGTAGTGAAACTTTTATTACTTCCCATTATGGAGAACATTTGTTTTCTTTAGAAATGAACTACCCACCACGACAAAGGAAAAATTCATGACAGCATTTCCTAGAGAAAAAGCTTCGGTGCCTGTCTCCAAATGAACCTTTCATTTTCTGCACCTTACCTTTTCATAGCTCAGTTCTTCTTATGAATTCTTTTGTGTCTTTTCTTTGATTGTCAGTTTTTTTCAAAGTTTTTTTTTTATTACTTAATGCAGAAAAATGAGCTCTGGCCTCCCTAATGTGACCGTCGATTGTGTCTAGAGAGAGGGTGATAGAAACAGCAAGGCAGGCACTGCTTTGGCAAAGCCCTGTCCCAGTCATGCCACACAGGACATTCCTAGGTTTGCACCCTTAGACACCACCACCACCACCACTACCCCCGAATTTTAATAGCTGGAATGTAAGCAAGTATCACCCCCAAAATTAATTTATGTACTAGATTCCAAATAAATAAGGTCTTTCAGAGGGTCGGGCTTTTTCTCACCCTTCCACTGGGATTGTTCAAAAGATAAAGGCAGGGTGATCTGCTTGCAAGTGTGTGTGATTAACAGATAGACTTCCAACAGAAATTTTTTATTCTAAATATTTGTTCAAATAGTACTAGACAATTTGAAATCAAACTGCGTCAAGTGGCGAGGGCTGCGGCTGTCGAGAAATGAATAAGGTCTGTCGTGCCATGCCACCGGGCTGCCTCACTCTAGGACCATGAAGGACAATTTGTGGTCTTAATCCTTTACATCAACTACAAACACCAGCCACGGTTACAACTGTTCAAAACTACTCTCAACTAGTTCAGACCAAGGAAACTAAAAAAAGGTGAAATGTGGCCCCCCAAAGCCGGGAGCGCGTTCCTAAACTCGGCTGGAGAATTCTACAAATATACACATAAATACATTAAGAGGAGGATAAATAATCAGGGAAACGAAATGAATCGCTTCAAATAATAAATACAGATCATTTAGTCCGATGAAATCCTTTATGGGACGGGAAGGAGCATATAAATTAAGATCTCCGAAACTAAGCTAGATGCGGGTCAGGCCCAGGACTCCAACTCTAGTCCTCCTGCAGGGCGCACCGCCCGATGGGTCTCAGACTTACCTTGGAGACACCATTACCAGATTAGAGTCCCTCGGTTCGCAGTATATGGCACTGTTAGGCTTGCGGGGGAGGATCCTTGCGGCTGATTTACGGCGAGTCACCCAAAGGAGGACGCGTTTGGAGGCGAGGCCGCATAGCCTCTGCCTCCGCCGCTGGAGGAGACCTGGGAAGCAGCGGCCAGGCCAGAGCCAGGGAGGGGGTCCCCGAACTGCCCCTCGGGCCCCGCCCGCCTGCCACCCCCAACAATCAAAGCAAAGGAGGTAATGACGCCGCAAGTTCGGGCCGACAGTGACCGCTACAGATGTGTCAGTTTTGGGGCCTCGGGTAGGCGTCCCTGAGACGAGTGGTGGGCCGAAAGATCTGTGTAGGTGGGATGAGGGTCGCACGGTCCATGGTGGTGGTTGCCAGGAATTTGCGCAGCGCAACTGTAGTCCACGCTGGCTGAAGACGGGTGGGAGAGGTGGCCCAGGTTGAAGACGGGCCCGGAAGCTGGCGCCATGGAGTCGACGAAGTTGCCACCCACGTACACCGGGCTGCCTTGCAGGTTGGCGCTGGCGAAGCCACCGCCGTTGCTCGCCATGGGGTGGGGCTCGAACTCGGGCGCCGCATAGCGCTTCTGCTGTGGCAGGCAGCTGCTGAGCGGCGCCGTGTAGGCGGCCAGGCCGTACATATTGGGCTGCGATTTGGCGAAGGCCGGCGGCGAGGGTGCGTCGTAGGCCAGGCCGGGCACCGGCGGCAGCTGCCCGGAGTAGGCCACGTGGCCAGCGGCGCCGCCGAGCGGCGGGCTGCGCTCCGGGGACTGGCCAGCCGGCGAGTGCAGGATGCCCTTGGCCTTCTGGTCCTTCTTGTACTTCATGCGCCTGTTCTGGAACCAGATCTTGATCTGGCGTTCGGTGAGATTCAGCAGGTTGGCCATCTCCACGCGGCGCGGCCGGCACAAGTAGCGGTTGAAGTGGAACTCCTTTTCCAACTCCACCAGCTGCGCACTCGTGTACGCCGTGCGCACCCGCTTGGACGCCGGGCCCGGCGGGCTCTTGTCCTCGCAGCTCTCTCCTGGGCAGGGAGGGAGAAAGAGGGGGCGCTGAGCGAGGGAGTAGAGACTCCTAGGAGTGAAGAGGGGTGCTTCCCTAGCTCTACTGGCCACCACCCTCCCCCACCTCCAATCCTGGCTGGGTGGGGAAGAGGCATTCCAGAGGTCAGAGTGCAAGGGAAAACTCACACCCTATCCCAGGTCTACCATCAGTTGCACCTGAAACCTGCATCTGCCTTCGGAAGTCCTATTCGCTCTGCTCTCCCTTCCTCTACATCTCAGCCCATCATCTCATCTCAAAAGGCCAGGAAGGGCTTTAATGAGAGAAGAAGAGCAGCTGGTTATGCCTCCCCTCTGTCAAAGAAGGGCCAGACTTCTCTTGGAACAGTCTTCTCACAGCTTCTGCTGCTGAGGGGTGTGAGCAGCTCCTCTACCTTGCTTAGAGGCTGGCTCCTGGGCAATGCACCTCCCCAGCAAAGAATGCGAGCGGGGGTTCTTAACACCTCAGTCTAGCCCAGCTACACCCAGAGGTGATAAACCCAAAAAATACTGCCTTGGCGTTTCCAGGGTCCCAAGGCCAGGCTGAAAGCATGTTGAGTAAGGCAGTGCTGGTGCAGCGGCCTCAACACAGGCTTCCACCACCCCTGCCACCTCTCAGCTGCTTGTCCACTCCCTCACTGGGAAGACAAATGGATTTCTCCCGGGAGGGAGGGCCCGAGCCTGCGCTGAGGAGGGAGGGGCAGGAGAAGGAGCTTGCAGGCTGGAAGGCACTTTCCCCCTAGGAGGAGCAGCCCCAGAGAGCTGCAGGCCAACCAGAGACCTGATAACAAGCCACATCCCAAGCTTCAAACTAGCCCTGGACCTAGAAACCTGCTCATCTATATGAAAATAAACTGCAGCAGAGAACACAAAGCCAAAAAAAATGTAGGGAACCAAGCAGTCTGAGCAGAAAGGAGCAGGTGTCAACGCCTGTGATGCCTGTCTTCTTCCACGTGCCCTGGATGACCTGGAGACCTTCTCAACCCAAGGGTCTCCCTTGCACAGAAAGAAAGCCCAGGCTGCTCCTGTTTCCCAGAAATTTCTCTCCACCTGGAATATGCACCTCCCTGTTAAGAGTTTGCTGACTGGGCAAACTGGGCTGAGACAGGCAGGTAGTTTCATGGTTATTCCTGACAGGCCCTGGAGTCAGAGTGGTTGGATTCAAATCCACCACCTTGCTGTTTTTTTCAACTTGGGCAAGTTGCGTATCATCTCTAGTAGTTTCCTTATCTATAAAATGAGGCTGTCTCACATGCCTACCTCAAAGCGTTTTTTGAAAAATTAAGATAATGCTTATAAATTGCTTAGCACAATTCTTCACAGAGCACTGCTTAGCCTTTAGTTTTTATTGATTCATGTGATATGAGCTATATAACCACCTGTGCTCAAGATATCTGTCTTCAAATTTTGTTCCTTTTCTTTCTTTTACTTTTTTTTTTTTTTCTTT